GGATCCAAGACTAGGGGATGAACTGCTTCAGAGACGTGCCTTGGCAAAAGGCAATGGGCTCTGCTGTTGTATTTAGTCTTCCAAAATGAGGAAGGGGAATGGCAAGGGGAAGATGGTTCATGGTCTCATGATTGTGTCAGGGATGGGGCAGTTGGGGCAAAGCTGCTGCTGTAGGGGCTGGTGTGGTGCTGAGGGCTGGTTCTGTGGCACAGGAACTGAGGGGAGGTCCTCACTGCCAGCTCTTCAGGGTGCTTGTCCTGCCTGGCTGCTGCTGCTCGCTGAGGGCTCAGGACTGGAGACTGTGTTTGCTGTTGTCTCAGGTTGAAACAAGCATGACAAGCACACAGGCGCTGCATGTGTCACCATCTGCAGTAACTGCTGAGTCAAAGGTGGTGGTGGCCCACGTGTTTCTGCTGCACAGCTACGCTGGAGGAATGGTGGTGGCACTTGAGAGCTGCATTCCCAGAGGAGTCTCCATCCTGGGGAATGGGAGTGAGAGGGTCTGTGCTGCCTGGGCCTTCTGACTCTCTTGGATCAGTCTTCTTTCTGCCTCCTGCCTGGCTCCTACAGCACTGGGCTGCCCAGAGCTGCCAGCAGCTTCTTCATCCAGCAGCAGTGTGGTGCCAAAGGCAGGACAACCCTGCAGCCTGTGCTGCATAAACTGGGCTGCCAGTTGAGCAGATCTTTTTCCCCTTTCCTTCATGGCCAAGTGCAGATGAGCAACCTTGTCTCCACCATCAGACTGTGGAAAAGGGCATGGAGAGAGCAAGCTGCTGCAGAAGAGCCCTGCTGGAACCAACAGCCTAAGGGGCTGCACTGTGTTGCCTGGAGTGCAGGAACACCTGCCTGTGCCTCCCTGCACAGTACTACTGCCTGTGGCCAGGATGCTAGAGCAGCCAGGAAGGTGCTGGAGCTGCTTTTGCTTGTGCTGGAGAGTGACACAGCCCATCATGTCCAGAGCTGGAACTGCTACCCGTCCATACCCACAGCCAAGGATGGAGGTTGTATGGCTGGGACTGTGGAGAAGCTCCTGCCGAGTCTCCCTTGCAACTGCTCTGCAACAACCCTAACCCTCGAGGTGGGAGGGGGAGCTGCTTTGTCCTGGCACCAACTCCGTGGTGGCTTTTGCCCCTTTCCAACTGCTTCTGGACCACGACACACAAGCAAAGGCTGGCCCAAGCTTGTGTGAAGATTATAGAAAGAGATCCTGGAAGCACAGCATGGCTTGAACTGGAGGGACATTAAAGCTCATCTAGTTCCAACCCCCCAGCTGTGTGCAGGGACACCTCCCACAAACCTGGCCCTGCACTTCCAGGGATGCATCATCCCCAGCTTCCCTGGGCAACCTCTGCCAGTGTCTCACCAACCTCACAGGGAAGAATTTCTTCCTAATATCTAATCTAAAGCTAACCTCTTTCAGTTTATAACCATAACCCTCATCCTATCACTTCCTGCCATTGTAAGAAGTCTTTCCCAGCTTTCCTGCAGCTCCTTCCTGTACTGCAAGGTGGCTTTGGGGAGGTTTGTTCTTCCAACACTGGCTCCTGTGAGACAGCAGCCGTGATCCCTGCAGGCTCAGATGCTGGTGCAGCTCCTGCACAGGCTTGCAGACACTTTTGACCTCCATGACATTCAGGTCCCAAAGCCTGTGGCAGTGGGACAGCAGCTGCCAGTTTTGACCAGTATCAAAACATAATGCCAGTGCAATCATGTTGTGCTGCTCAGAGGTAGGGGCCTGACTTCTTCAAGGTGAAATGTACCTGACAGCTGGTGGTGTGACTTGTAAGAAAAAAGTTGTTTTCATGGAAGAAGGTTTTTTTGTGTTTTTTTTTTTCCCTTGTGGGTCTTGAAGCACAATTGGGAAGTGCTAAAAAGCCCCTGCCTGCCGCCGGGGCATGTCTTGCTTCACATACACACCCCACCACCCTGCTGCATGGGGCCATGATGCTCAGGAGAATGAGCTGAAGTCAGAAACCCTCACTCCTGACCTTCCTCCTGGTGGAGGCCATGGATGACATGGGTGCTGCAGTGTTCTCCCTCCTGGCCCAATCTGGCATGATGCAGGGGACCCTGAAGGCAGGTGACATGGCAGGATCCCAGGATCCCATCCCTGCTCCAGGTGCCTGTGAACTCTCAGCCCTGAAGAGGACTCACCTTCATCACGGTGCTTGGCTTCTCCTGCAGACCCATCTGCTGCTCTTACCCTCCCAGCTCAGCTTGTATGGCAGGAGCATGTGGAAAGGGACAGGCTGTAAAAGCAAAACAGCTCCTGGAGCCTTGGAAAATGCAGACACACACCAGTGATATGCTCAGATCTTTATTAGGTGGAGGAAGGGCTAAAAAGAAATGAAACTCTTGAAACATTCACCGCACTGGTGGAGGACAAGAAGGGCCAGGAGCTGCCTCCAGAGTTTTTGTTAAAAAAAAACCAAAACTGGGGAGGGACAGGTGAAGTTTCCATCCAGCAGCTCTGGCTTTCCTGGTCAGAGTGGCTCAGGGCAAACAAGGTACAAGACACAGCTTATACTTTTATTTAAGAAACCGCTACATAGTTTTTACCTCTAATGATGTAAAGGAGGTTCCAGGACACACTGAGCCATCCAAAGTCTCTTGCTAGAGAAACAAAACAAAAAACCAACAAAAACATAAAAACAAAACAACAAACAAAGAGAAAACCCTGTCTTTTTTAAAAAAAATTATTATTATTCAGATATGTAAAAATAAAAAGGATAGCTGCAGCTCAGGGCCACAGTGACCAAACTGCTCATGAGAGTTCATCTCCCACAGCAAGAGGGAGAGGGGAGAGGAAAGAAAGGGGAAGGCTCACAAAATATTATTTTTATTCCTCTTCAAAGTAACAACTATATTTGGGGCTGGGGACAGAAATCAAACCAACAGGATGCATCTTGATTTCCTTTTATTATTATTTTTTTTGGAGGGGTAAGGGGGGTTCAGGCCTCCTTATTTGCCTGAATTTAGAACTGCATTAAATAAATGGACTCCAGCTCAAAAAAAAAAAAAAAAAAAAAAAAAAAAAAAAAAAAAAAAAAAAAAAAACAACAAAATTTTTTTTTAAA